AGTGCACATGACTCGATCTTAAAACCGTCTGCTCAATTTATCGATTTTCAAAATTGACTTTTAAAATTTTGGGCATCCATCGAATTGAACATTGGAACTCCAAGAAAAACAATTAGTTCATCACTATTGAAGTAGTAGAGTGCTTTAATATTTTTTTATGTGCAATAACTTGTATGTATGCAATGAATCATATATATTTTATAGGTTTGCTAGAAGTGTTCTATAAAAATACTGTGGGCCAACCTTTTACTTTATTTTATAGACCTAAATAATTAGTAAAAAGTAACTTCAAAAAAATATAATTTTGCCTAAAAAAAGTTTTATACTTCTAGTTTTTTTTATAGATTTTTATGCAATGATTCACCGATCCGACCACTGACCCACCGGTTCAACTAGTAACCCAAGATCCAGTACCTTGGGTCAGGTCTAATAATTATGATGAAAACTAAAGACCACAATATAAGAGAAACCTCAAATATTTCCACTTCAAAGAAGATGCCTTGCATTTTGATTGACACAAAAGTCCCAAAAATTGGTGCTTCACATTTACAAGTCATTTCCAAAGCATTATGCAAACCATTAATCTCAACTCCACACATCAAGAACTTCATTTTGCTACAATTATGAGAACAAAATCCTTGCACACGGCTATCCATGCGCACATTGAGCATGTTTAATCTGTTTTCAATGGGACTGACTTATATGACATATTGCACAAATGAAAGTAAAAGCATTAAAGTCAGGCCAATAGGTCAATTTAAAGGGAGTAAGAAAATACTGAATTGAATGGATAGAAATCTCAAGGACTGCTGACATGCAAAGGCTTTTTGTAAGATTGCAAAAGGAGTGATGAACAAACCACACTGATGGACGACGCAGCCATGCAAGCACCAGCAAGCCAAGGAGGTAAACGAATTCCCGTGAAGGGGTATAAAATTCCAGCAGCTATTGGCATTCCAAGAACATTGTATCCGAGTGCCCAGACATAATTTATCCGGATTCTTCTCATTGTCTTACGAGAAAGATCTATTGCTGTGATCACATCCTCCAAGCTGCTCTTGATTAGAACGACATCAGCAGCTTCTATAGCTACATCAGTGCCTGCGCCGATTGCTATGCCAACGTCTGCTGCGACTAGGGCTGGTGAGTCATTTATCCCATCTCCGACCATTGCCACACTTCCACCATTCAACTGCATCAAAGTTCAGTTACACAGGATGTTATGGATGAAACATTATTTCCTAACTTGGAGTTACCAGAAACAATTAAGACTACAAAATTATAGTGCTCCACCATTCATGTCAAAGCCATATCGACTCGCCCCTGCAGATTTTTCACTACATTCGAGAAGTTGTTTTACAATGGGAAATCTCACCCCTCTTTTGCTCACATTCATCACCCCCACCCGTCGTACTTGTAGCATAGTAAAAAATTACAAACATATGAATACATAAGCGGTAACTATCCATATTGAAGTGAGAGTATAATTAGGCTACACATTCCAACAGAAGTGATGTTCATAGTTTGTATATCTCTAATTTTTAATTATTTTAGCATTTTTATCTTTAGTGTTGCAATCAGTATGTATTCCATTTTAAATAATATCACTTCTGGAGGAAAAAAAATTGGTACAAAGTTCAAAATAGGAAATTCCACAAAAAAATAAATAAATAAATAAATAAAAATCATGATTATTAAGAAATTGCTATCATGATTTAGAGCCATTACTTAAAGAGCAACAAAATAGTACACTTAGCAATGTCAAGCTACAAGAAAATGATTTTACCTGCAACTCTTTTATCTTATCAGCTTTTCCAAGTGGATCTGTTTCAGCAAACACCTTCTGAATTCCGACCTCGCCAGCTATAGCAGTTGCTGTTGCCCAATTATCACCTGTAACCATGACACTCGAGATGCTCATCGAGTGGAGGAATGATATGACGCGTGCAGCTTCCGGCTTCACTGGATCAGTAACTGCGAAAGCTCCTGCAGGTTTTCCATCAATGGAAACAAGTACACAAGTACGAGCCAGTTGCTCATTCTCTGTCACATAATCGTCTACCTCATGACCAAGTGGGACATCAAAAAGTCGCATAAGTCGCTTGTTTCCAACCAAAATTGTTCTGTCACCAACTTTTCCACTCACCCCTGCTCCAGGGTGCACCTCAAAGTCCTTAATGTCGGTGAAATGTTCATTTTGGGATCCATACTTCTGGCATAGCCTTTTTGCATGCTCCACAACGGCTCTTGCGATTGGATGCTCACTATTTGCCTGATAAAATGTAGTGTTGATATCACACGAACCTATATATCTTTATAATTGTGGTATGCCTCTTATTAATCAAAAACTTAATTATGGCTTATCAATCAAATTTAAAACCCACCTCTGCAGCAATAGTCATCTCACAGAAATCTTCCATGGAAAATTTGGAAAAGAGCACAGAACTAACAACCGATGGTTTTCCAACTGTCAGTGTTCCGGTTTTATCAAAAACAACAGTCTTGACCTGCATGACCAAAGTAAATATCAATTAAGATTTAAAAACTCGTGACATGAAACAAAAGCAATATATTGATGACATGCATTACAACATAAAAGGTAGCACCATCCAATTACAGAAAAATGTGTTGATATGAGATACAACACCAGAGGTAAAAGCATGATGCTGAATGCAACATAAACGCATTACATATGGCGGAACTCACAAAAAAATGTCAACATTTATACTTCAAATTAGTTCTGAGGTGACTGTTTTATTTCATGGCTGAAACTACCAAAGATTCAGTAACAAACATCACAACTGGTCAGCCTTAGTCGACATTCTAGTTGAACAGCAGTTAGCTACTCAAACAGGGAAAGAATAAAATTACGTCAAATATATTTCAATGTGGTCCCATGTTTACTTGCATATTTGTGGATATACGGTGATAGAACATTAAAAATTTTAAAGTATACTCAGAGGCAAAAAGGAATTAAATTAGTTAGGGTTTCTTTAATTCTAGTTTGTGTGAGATTGGAATTAATTTCTTAGTTTCAAATTTGATTAGGTTTTCATTACTTTCCTACATATTATAAGATTGTTTAAACCTATAAATAGAGGGGTTAACTCTTTTTTGTAATTTCCTTCTAGAGGGGTTAACTCTTTTTTGTAATTTCCTTCTGACCATTGAATAAAATTACAAAATCTTCCAACTAAAAGTGGGACAGAAAGAAAGACATTTAAATTACTAAAAGTATAGCCGATCTCAAGAAAAGCAAAGTCAAGGCATCCAATGCTGGACATTAATGGATGTATGAATAGAAAACCATTTGCTGAATTTACTTTCATAAGAAATAGAAATTTTTGAACTTCTGACCAATTGTTTCTATGGGAATATATGCCATATTTTATGTAAAAGTGAGCAGCCATCGAGCATGACAACGTATACATTAGATAGACTAGCTGATCCATGATCAAGTGTTACCTTGTGTGCTTTTTCTAGTGCATTCCCACCTTTGATGAGCACCCCTTGTGAAGCACCCTTTCCAGTGGCAACCATGACAGCAGTAGGAGTTGCTAATCCCAGAGCACAAGGGCAGGCAACTACCAACACTGAAATACCGAACTGCAATGCAAACTCGAAAGCGTCCATAGCTTTTGGTATCCAAATTCTAGGGTATATCCTGGCTTCTCCAGGAATAAACCATCCCAGCCACGTTAAGAATGCAGCTACTACAACCTGGTTTAGAGAGACAAACAGCATGTATGTTACATGTATGCAACTGGATCCAATTTTTTT